TAGTTCCATTGGGGGTGGGGATGGTTTTCCTGGCAATCTAGTTACTGGTATCTTGGTAACTACTCTCTCCATTCCTAAATATTTGTCTTTCTAAATATTTCAAATGACTATCACATACGGATGTATATAGACACATTTTAGAGTGTAGATTCACTCATTTTGCTCTGTATGTAGTCACTGGTTGAAATCTTCAAAAAGACAAGTATTTAGGAACGAAGGAAGTACGTTGCTTGATTAATAAAGTGCGACGTTGTCTCTCTCTCTCTAAAAAAAGGGCGCATATGTCAAAGAGCGTGAGTGAATCCGCACTATTTCATCAACCACATTGTGTGCGAGGACGCAAGGCGCACAGTTGGTGAGTTGGCCCATCTTGTACCTGCAAGCGCCGCAATACAGCCCAAAAGGGGTTCATCCGCCGTCGTCCCGTCGCACTCGCACAACGTCGCGCGCATCATTTCCAGTTATGCACGCACATGACATAATGCATGCCTAGCTTGCGTGATGTAACTGGACATGGGCGTGGCAGGAAAATGCCCCGGCCCGAACGTTCGTTGCATCACTACTTTAGCAGCAGCATCAGGCTGGCGCTACAGCAAACTCGCCTCCACTCCACGGTCGACGTTCCAACATGATCGACCAACTCAGCTGAGCACCGATGGCGCCGTCCCGTCACATCACAGACGACCACGCTAGCTGGTTCCTTCGTTTTAAGCCGCTACTGGCAGTAGCTGTTGGACCTTCTCAAGCAAGCGTGCGATCTGTCTAAAATATGTCGACAACCGGAAAATGATCGCTCACATAACACATACTAAGATCGATACATCAGACATGCGGCAGCACGTTTTTCTTCACGATAGGAGTATAATCGTATAGTAGTAGGAGCAACTAATTACAGTAGCTGACGACGTCATCGTCATGCACGCACGCGTACAAGCGTACGTGCCAACGACACCTTGTACGTACCTGGAACAAACAAGAGAATTATGTACCGTACTGTACTTTCGTATAGGCTAACAGTAATAGGCGCCAGACGGGGAGCGCGCGCATCGATCACGTCCGCACCGGCATGTGGACGCGGCGGTTGTGGTACCGCGCGACGCCGCCGCTTTCCAGCCCCATCGCCGTCTTGTTAGCCGGGACCGCCGGCGGGCGGGCCACACGGACCGGCGTCGGCCCGACGCTCACGGCCCTCTCGCACCGGCAGCTGTCCAAGAACCCGCCGCCTTTCTTGCGGCCGGCGCTCCGGGACATTGCCGCGGTGAAGCCGTCGTGGCCGGCGGCGGACACCGGCGGGACGAAGCGGAACTCGTCGACGCCGCACGCGGACGCCGAGCTGGAGAAGTTGGCCACGCTGCCCGCGTCGTAGGCCACGCCCTCGGCGGTGGCCACGCTCCACGCCACGCTCGCCTCGCTCGGCGCGTACATGCACTCACTCAGCGCTGGCTCCGCGGCCGCGGCGGCGTACGCCAGGTCCTCGTCCCCCGAGTTGCGCCGGCTGCTGCGCCCGCGGTACGTGGTCGGGTACGACGATGACGCCGCGAAGCTCTCCAGGTCGAACAGGTCCGAGCTCGCGTCGCTCATCGCGTCGTCGTCCATGGCCGACACTACTGCCGGCGCGCGCAGAAAAGCGGCCGCGGCTAGGGGTGGCGGCGGGTCCACGAGCACCACCGAGTCCTCGTCGATGGGACGGAACACCTCCAGCGACTCGCGCGGCGGCTCGTCGAGGACGGTGCTGATGACGGCCTTGGACGGGCTGATCACCGGGAACGTGAAACCGCCGGAGCTCACGACGCGGCGGCCAACGTCGGGCGGGAAAGCGGGAAAGGAAGCGCTGGTCTGATGATCTGGAGCCGGAGCGAGGATGTTGTCGTTGGCGCGAAGCGGGAACGCGCAGCTCCCCGTCGTAAAAATCTTCATCACGCCGGGCTCGTCGTTTGGAGACGGGGGAGGCAGCCCGTTGGCCTTAAAGATGGCGCTCTCCTCCCTGGCGTCGAACCTCACGTGGTTCCTCGGGGTGGCCGGCTCGGAGGCGACGTCCACGGTGACGGCCTTCCTGCCGGCGCAGGGGCAGTCCCGGCTGAAGATCCCCCAGCGCTGCCCAAAGGCGCCTGCGGCAGGCTTCCTGCCGCCGCGGTGATACCGGTCGTCCCTCGTATCCAGGACGACGACGCCGTTGACGCCACCGCCATAGCCCTTGTCGTGCTGCCTAGCGGCCGACGACGACTGGTCACTGGCGAGCAGCCCGGAGCGGCTGTTCCAACTGGCCTCCGACGACGCCGCGGTGCGGCCGCTCTGGCCTGCCGCCGCGTCCACGGCAGCGACGGGCAGCTGGCGCGGCGTGTTGTCCGCATGGACCGCGGCGGCGCTGTACTTGACGGCGTCCGCGGCGTTGAAGTAGCGCTCGGCCGTGAAGATGTCGAGCTCCCGCTCGGCGCCGCCCGAGCGCCGGGTGGCAGCCGCGGGCTGCAGGTGGCCGGAGAGGAAGACAGGCCGCGCCGGCGCCACTCTGTAGCGGTCCATGTATGCAATACAGGAGGAGAGATAAGACGCCACGCTTGGGTCACTCGTTCAGTGTGCGCGAGAGAGTTGGCGGAGAGGGGCCGGTTGAGCGGAGGAATTTGTAGGGGCGGGAGCGCGGGCAGAGCCAAGGCGCGACAGGCTGGGCTAGACGGGGACGGCGCGCGGGCGGGCGCGCCAGTGCGTGCCGAGACGCTACTGCTTCCGCTTCCGCTACGGGCGGGGAGGTGTAAGCGTCGGTGTCGCGCGCGTTTAAAAATGTGTGTGGCTGGCGTGGCGTGGCGCGGCAGCCAAGTGCGCGCGAGCGACGGCGGCATGCGAGCCGGGAGGAGAGGTGCTGTGCAGCTCGGGGACGCGGGGTGGGCACCAAGACTGTGCCGTGCCGAGTGGGTGCATACAGTCTTTTCGTTGTCGCGCCATCCTCTGCTCTCATCATCCCGCCTCACTCTCATCGCCCAATTCTGCGTGGTCTTCCTTTTCTCTGGGAGCGTGCAGGACATTTTTCACGCACTCTTCCAGGGTGAAATCCGCGTGCCACGGACAGACCCCGAAACTGATTGCAATCGAGCTTCGGATAGTTCATGGCAGGCGCTGGATGCACCCCACGTCGCCAAGTGCAATGCATCATCATCGACAGGCGGAGTGCGTGCGTTTCCACACGAATGATGAGTTCCATGCCATCCAAAACCAAGCGCGACGATCCAATGAACGATACAGGATACAGATACGTAGCTGCATGCAGTGTACTCGCCGGGAAACGCCCAGGATCTACTACGTGGCGTCCAAACGAGCCACTACCACCGCATCGGCGACAGCCTCAGCCATGACAATATACCATCCACTCAACTAGCAATCGCTTATCAAATTATATCAAATGCCGTTGCCAAAATAGGCCACCATTTTCATACCAAAGGAACGCAACAAGTAAAGGGCTGGGGATGCCAGATGCATGCCCCACTCCAATGCTTAGGATTTTTCCATCAGGTTTCACTTAATGGCACGAATCCTAAGGAATTAGATATGGACACAATCCTTAGGATTTTAGAAAGTACTGTACAACCTTCCTGTGAAAGAAATGACATACATAAGGGGGGGAAATCTATGGAAATCCTCCAAAAAGTTAACAAACCAAAGGCCCGGTGTTTCAAACTTTAGAGCAAGCACATCTAGAACAATGATAAATACGACTGAAGCTATCAAATCACGAACAACTGCATTTACATGACTCGTGTCCTATCAAATGTAATTCAAGGCTGAACAATCATAGACCAACGCATGATTTCATTTTGCAGAAGAAAATAGCTGAAGGCTGGTTTAAGCTGGTTCACAACGCTGCAATACTTATTTTAATACAAAAAATTAACACAAGATAGAGGGCATAACCTATACATAGAGATAGATACCAACGAAAACTAAGTGAAAGGAGCACATGTCAGTTAAAACATCCTCCTGCATGAAATCTTAACATTTACATCCTTTATAAGGTGGCACAGAATTCTTCGAGCAGTACAATACAGTAGCTGGTCGGTTGCGCTAGTAAATTACAATGGCGAGGAGCCTCTGCTCTTGTGCATGTCATCGGGAGAAGCAGGGCGGGCGAAGGAGGGCGATGACATGGCGGCATGACAGGACGACGAAACCAGTTGTGCAAGGGCTGGTATTGTACCAGCTGCAGATAGAATTAAAACTTTAGCTCATCCAACGTATAGAAATGAGTAATGGCAGTGGCAGAGCAAAGATCATAGATGTAAATGCTGTAATATGTGTGTTGCAGAAGAATTTGTAACTTAATCTAAAGATGAAATGTAATCTAACCAACACGGCAACACTACATAGAACAAGTAATCTCAATAACCCTCTGCAATAAAAAGCTGCTATACTATTCCAATGTACATCCTATGTACCTGAACAGTACCATTGTTGCTATACTATTCCAATGTTATTACTAGAGTAATTGCTGTAAATACACTAATTAGTCCTCACATTAAATCTGCAGTTCAAATGCAAATGTTCCAAATATAATAATTAACCAATCTGTGAGTTGGTTTGGAAATGCATATCAATTCCAGGATCACATGAATAAACAAAACACATGTTCCTCTAAAACGAATTAGCTAACATAGAATATGCAAAAAAAAGGTGTAGATAAGTACTAATACATCATATATATTATTATAAGATAGACATGTTCCTCAAAAACGTTACTGCACATAAAGGCAACCTACAGAAAACCGACGCAGCCCAGTTTGAAACACCTTCAATACTGTTAGACGTGTATAGTCCCTTTTCAGTATATCCCCATTGTATAAGGGGTTTTCTGCACTTTGACACACATGTATATGTAATGGTCTTTGGCCCTCAGTAAAGTCAGTTGCTCATTCTCCAACACGGTATCGGATGCTAGGCTAGCCCTTTTCTCCCGCACGATGCAACTCCGTGCGTCTCGTTCCTAACCTGCTTGTCTCGGGTCGTCCGGCCGCTGCATCTACGGCCCGGCTCTGCTGCTCCTCCTACAGGCCCCGGTCCGGCTCCTACCGTCTCCGTCCTCGTCCGACCATCTGGCCGCAGTCCCGTCCGGCCGCCGCCCCGTCCAGCCCCGACCGGCCGCAGCCCCGTCCGGCCGCCCCCACTTGGCCGCTGCTCCATCCGGCTGCCGCCACGCCCGGACCACCCCGTCCGGCCGCCGCATCGACCGACCCGTCCGGTCCGGCCGCATCTGGCGCGAACTCCTTCTCGCTCGGGCGGCCTGGCTCTCGATCCACTTTGGGTCGGAGGCCCGCCTCTCCCTCGACTCTGCCTAGCGGATCCCCAGCGTACCCTTGTCGTGCGGCCTCTCGGTCCACTTCGGATCGGACGCCCGCCCCTCCCTCTCCCTCGACTCTGCTTCGCCCGTGCGTGAGAGCGTGCGCCCCTGCCGCTTCTCTCGATTCAGATCGGGTCTTGCACCGTTGACTTCCCCCCAAAAAAACAGCACGTTTGTCATGTCCTCTTCGGGCTATGTTGTTGTTCCTCGTTGTTCGGTGATTTTTGATGGCACCAACTATGCTGAGTTTGTGGGCTTCATGCGCATCCATATGCGTGGACTTCTTCTATGGGGTGTTCTCTCTGGCGAGGTCCCTTGTCCGCCATGCCCTGTTGCGCCAGTGGCCCCAATCCCACCAGTGCCGCCGGTCCTTGCTACTGATGCTTCTCAGGCTGACCGGGATGCCTCCAAGGCTCTAGATGATGTTGCGATTGATGCTTATGATCAGCAGGTATCCGCTTATTCCGATGCTCCTTCTGTGTACCGTGATGATCCATCTGCTTACACTCAGTGGTGCAATGATGATGCTCGAGCTGCTGTTGTTCTCACTGCGAGTGTTCTCCCTCAGTTTGCTTCGGAGTTCATGGGACTTGGCACAGTTGCAGCGATGTGGTGATGCTCTCTACCTATCTGTGGTGCGTCAGGAGCACGCACTCCAGCAAGGTGATTCTTCTGTTGATGAGTTCTATTCACAGTGCTCTGCCATCTGGCGCCAGCTTGACTCTCCTCGGACAGTTGTTTGTGGAACCTGTCGTTGCTGTCGAACTACTCGGTCTGATCTGGAGTTTCGGCGGGTCCATGAGTTCTTATCTCGTCTCCGGTCTGAGTTTGAGCCCCGACGTGCTCACTTGCTTGCTCGTGGTCGTGTTCCTATCTCGGAGGTGCTTGCCGAGCTTCGTGCTGAGGAGACCCGCCTTCGCTCTGCTGGGTTGATGGTGGTTCCGTCTGTGTTGGCTGCTCGGGCTCCTGTGTCGTCTGCTCGGCTCACCGCTCCACCGCTCTTACCCACACCTTCAGGGGGTGGATCGCCCTTCTTATGCTGAAAGGGGCCGGTCGCGCCGTGATTGCCGTGAGAAGAAGCGAGACCAGAGGCGCTCCTCTTTCAGTGGGACTCCTGGATCTTCCTCGACTCCGTCACTCACTGACCAGGACATTATGAGGCTCAAGCGTCTCTTGGCTTCCTCAGGCTCTCCGTCGACCGGTTTCGATGCTGCTGTGACTACATCCACTTCTCCACCACCGCAGTCATCTACACAGTCAGGTACATCTTCGTGGGTTCTGGATTCTGGAGCCTCTTTTCATATGTCTTCTGATTCTTCTGTGCTGTCTTTTCTCCGACCTCTTGATTCGCCTGTTAATGTTCTTACCGCCGATGGCACGCCTCTTCCTGTTGCTAGTCGTGGTCTTCTTTCCACTCTATCTTTTTCTGTTCCGAGTGTTTCACATGTTCCTCGCCTTACCATGAATCTTTTTTCTGCTGCCCAACTTACTGATTCTGGTTGTCGTGTCATTCTTGATACCGACTCTTGCTCCATTCAGGATCGTCGCACCAAGGCTTTGGTTGGTGCTGGCCCCCGGCACCGTGAGTCAGAGGGCCTTTGGGAGGTTGACTGGCTTTGTGTTCCTTCCGCTGCCACCACCTCTGCCAGCTCCCATGCTCTTGTTGCCTCCTCGTCTGCGTCCTTCCAGCAGTGGCATCATCGCCTTGGTCACATCTGTGGCTCTCGCCTGTCTTCTTTAGTTCGTCACGGCCTCTTAGGGTCTGTATCTGGAGATGTTTCTTTACATTGTAATGGTTGCAGACTTGGCAAACAGACCCAGTTACCTTATCCTACAGTGAGTCGGTATCTCAGCGTCCTTTTGACTTAGTTCATTCTGATGTCTGGGTCCTGCTCTCTTTGATTCGAAAGGTGGTCATCGGTACTATATTTTGTTTATTGATGATTTCTCTCGCTACACTTGGCTCTACTTCATGAAATCTCGTAGCGAGGTTCTGTCTATCTACAAACGCTTTGCTGCCATGGTTCACACCCAGTTTTCCACGCCCATTCGTACTTTTCGTGCTGACTCCGCTGGTGAGTTCATCTCTCAGCTGTTGCGTGGTTTTCTTGCGGAACAGGGTACTCTTGCCCAGTTCTTATGTCCTGGTGCTCATGCTCAAAATGGCGTTGTCGAACGTAAGCATCGTCACCTACTTGAGACAGCTCGTGCGCTGATGATTGCCGCTTCCCTTCCACCCCACTTTTGGGCCGAGGCTGTTTCTGCATCCACTTATCTCATCAACATTCAGCCATCGACTGCTCTGCAGGGTGGTATTCCTATGGACTGTCTCACTGGTCGCTCTCCTGACTACTCAGCTCTCTGTATGTTTGGATGTGTGTGCTATGTCCTTCTTGCACCGCGAGAACGCACCAAACTGACTGCTCAGTCGGTTGAGTGTGTTTTCCTTGGCTACAGTGATGAGCACAAGGGCTATCGCTGTTGGGATCCTGTTGGTCGGAGTTTGCGCATCTCGCGTGATGTGGCCTTTGACGAGTCTCGTTCTTACTACCCACGTCCTTCCTCGAGCTTCTCTGTGGACGATATTTCTTTTCTTCTTCTCCCCGATACACCCTGCTATGTGCCTCATGTTTCACTTCCTCCTCCTGCACCTCTCATTCCTTCTTCACCACCGACACCATCTTCCCCATCCTCCTCCACATCCCCATCATCATTTCCAGTCCGTCGCCCTCTCTCACCGTTTCCTCTCCCCTATACCCGTCGCCCTCGCTCTGAGGATGCTTCTCCTGACGCGCCTTCCACCTCTGGTGCTCCTCCTTTCACGCCTCCCCCGATTCATAACCTCCGTGCTCGGCCTCGCCCCCCGCCTGATCGTTACTCTCCTGATCGGTACGGTCTCTCTGTTCTTGCTGAGCCCACTTCCTATCAGACTGCCATGACTCAGCCTGAGTGGCAACTTGCGATGGCCGGAGAGCTTGCTGCCCTTGAGCGCTCAGGCACATGGGATTTGGTTCCCCTCCCTTCCTGTGTTCGTCCCATCACCTGCAAGTGGGTCTACAAGATTAAGACTCGCTCTGATGGTTCTCTTAAGCGCTACAAAGCTCGTCTTGTGGCCCGTGGTTTTCAGCAGGAGCAGGGACGCGATTATGATGAGACTTTCGCTCCTGTGGCCCACATGACCACTATCCGCACTCTTTCTTGCTGTGGCTTCTGTTTGTCATTGGTCTATCTGTCTATCTCTCAACTTGATGTCCAGAACGTCTTTCTCAATGGCGAGTTGCGTGAGGAGGTATATATGCAGCCACCACCGGGGTACTATGCCCCTGATGGTATGGTCTGTAGACTTCGGCGCTCCCTCTATGGTCTTAAACAGGCCCCTCGCGCCTGGTTTGAGCGCTTCGCCTCTGTGGTGACTGCCGCTGGTTTCTTGCCCAGTGATCATGATCCCGCGTTGTTTGTTCACACGTCTCCTCGTGGTCGGACTCTTCTCTTTCTCTATGTTGATGACATGATCATCACTGGTGACGACTCTGAGTACATTGCCTTTGTTAAGGCTCGCCTTCGCGACCAGTTTCTCATGACTGATCTTGGTCCACTTCGCTATTTTCTTGGGATTGAGATCTCCTCGACCTCTGATGGCTTCTACATCTGACAAGAAAAATATATTCAGGATCTTCTTGCTCGCGCTGCTCTCGATGATGAGCGCACTGTTGTGACTCCTATGGAGCTCAACGTTCAGCTTCGTGCCTCTGATGGTGACCCTCTTCCTAACCCCACTCGCTATCGTCACCTCGTTGGCAGTCTTGTCTATCTTGCTATTACGCGTCCTGACATCTCCTATCCTGTCCACATCCTGAGTCAGTATGTTTCAGCCCCCACCTCTGTCCACTATAGTCACCTCCTCCGTATTCTACGATATCTTCGTGGCACGATCTCTCAGCGCCTTTTCTTTCCCCACTCCAGTTCTCTTGAGCTCCAGGCCTACTCTGATGCTACCTGGGCTAGTGATCCCTCTGATCAACGCTCGCTGTCTGCTTACTGTGTCTTTCTTGATGGCTCTCATTGCCTGGAAGACAAAGAAACAGACTGCGGTTTCTCGCTTGAGTACAGAGGCTGAGTTGCGGGCCATGGCTATGTTGACGGCTGAGGTGATCTGGTTACGGTGGTTACTTGAGGATTTTGGTGTGTCTGCTACTACCTCGACTCCCCTTATTGTCAGATAGTACTGGTGCTATCAGTATTGCGCGTGACCCGATGAAGCATGAGCTCACCAAGCACATCGGTGTGGATGCCCACTTTGTGCGTGCTGTTGTGCAAGATCAGACTCTCGCTCTTCACTATGTGCCCTCTGAGTTACAGTTGGCTGACTTCTTCACGAAGGCACAGACTCGAGCGCAGCATACCTTTTTCCTCTCCAAACTCAGTGTTGTTGATCCACCATGAGTTTGAGGGGGGGTGTTAGATGTGTATAGTCCCTTTTCGGTATATCCCCATTGTATAAGGGGTTTTCTGCACTTTGACACACATGTATATGTAATGGCCTTTGGCCCTCAGTAAAGTCAGTTGCTCATTCTCCAACAAATACCACCTCCCCTAGTCATCTACATGGCTTTGTCTGTGTCCATCGCATCTAGTTTGAACTTTAAACCTTCTGGTTTATAAAGGGTGGTTTGTCTGGATTGGACAGGACAAGGTTCTCCTCACTTGCTTAATGAGCAGACCAATATCATATTGCACTTCATAAGTACGCCAAAATAAAGGAAAATACTATTACAAACACCAAAATAACAAACTGTGTAGTTCACAGGGTAAATTTGCATCTGATGAAGGTTATGCAGGTGCACAGCTATAGGCCAGTACTCAGGGCTCATACTCGATACGCCCACAGCTATGCAGCTCCGGCCAACACTCATTGGCAGCTAAGCCAGTTAGGATCTAGTTTCCCTCCTGTGTCAACTTTGTTTGGACGTACTCATCTACTATCACATGTGTGTACTCTGTATTGGTGAATGAATGCAAACCAGTGAAAAGATGATGTGGGGTTCAATTCAGTCCAGAAGCCTTCATGACAATGAAACTTCATAAAAGCATTTGCTTTGGAATCCCCAAAAGGTACAAGCGTGTTTTATAGCCAAATAGAGCATGGCTAATAGTGTAGTCAGCTGCTGGATATATTAAGTTGTCATGTCATGTAAAGCTATCATTTGCAATCACTCATATAAAAAGGTTGGCTACAAGCGTAATACTTTTTTCACCTTCTCTCTTTCTCTTTTTCATATTTATTGCCGTTGCCTAGGAGCACGTGTATAGGCAGGCTCTTGCATGAGATCCCATTCCTCTTGCTTTTTCATGTCACACTCCTCCACATAAGCAAACATGCCATGTAACCAGGCTACAAGCCTGTTATTATACTTGCTCATAGGCAGGCTAAGTGAAACATCACTAGTGACAAAAACTGTCAAGTGGAGCCAAGGAATGGAAACTGTTCCAATGCAGAACATCTCTATAAATTACTTGTAATGATGTCCAGTGAAATACAGAAAATAATCTACCAACCATGACATCAAGGAAATAATAATAGAATAGATTTTTAGATAGCAGAATTACAAGCATAAAATAGATAAATATATTAAAATACAGAAGAGTATTGCCTCACCTGCTAATCCAGCACACGCAGAAGAGAATACAACAACTGGAGGGGCCTGCAGGAGGAAAAGGGTCAGACCAATGGACCTCATCAGACTGAACAAAAAATAGCATCCCAATGCAATCTTTGCACCAAAAATTCTCAAAGAAAGGAATAAAAGGCGATAAACTCTCTTGGTATGCAACTGTAGCTGGCTGTACAGTTAAGCAATGCTAGTCTGGGGAACCCGTCCCAGTAATAAAACTTGCTGATGTACGGAATGGTATGAAACTCAGCACATTGGCACAGTGAATATTCAGTGCTATGTTTACATACCAGACTACACAACTGATGCGTGCTTAAAGAAATTTCAAGAAAACTAGAGCTTGATGACACCAAAAAAAAACCCGCCTATTTTGTCTCAACATAGCCGGTTCCAAGCCTGGGTAAAGGAGGATTGTGATGCTATCCACGTGCCAGAACAATGACTAGGTTCCGATATCTTATGGGTTTCAACTCTAGCCTACCCCAACTTGTTTGGGAATGAAAAGATTTGTTGTTGTTGTAGGTTCTAATGTTGTCACTGTGATTGTTTGGGCAGTGGATGACCATTAGAGCATATAAATGTGCCCATCAAGTGATAAAAAGAACATCTTAGAGCTGCATCATTCCAAATAATTCATGCTAAAAAGAACATGCATAAGATAATATCAACATATGGAAAAGGGAAAATGGACACTGTACTTACACCAACAAGAAAATGCATCCACATTGGCCCTTTTACGTAACGCCGAACAACAGGCATAGCTACATAAAAAAAATCCAAAGTTAATGCTAATCTGAAGATAATATTATTATTTAGTATATATAATTGTATAATAGCATAATTTAAAAAATGGCATAAAAAGCTAAGTGATTTCATTCTAGACCCCTTTGCAACAAAAGACCAAGCAGGTAAATCCACTTCATGTAAATAAAGTTGAGCCAATATCATGTGTATTGCCGGGAGAAAAAAATGCATGCATGTAGGCATGTACAGGGAGGTGTTTTACAAGAACATTAATAATCATTTTTGATACGGCAACAAGGTACATGCATATCTGAATAAGATTTGAAATGATATTGAGGATCCTATAAGATGATATCTGAATATTTTCACGAGATTTGAAATGCTATTGCGGATCCTATAAGATTAATGACAGGTATTACAATGCAAACTAGCAACACATCTCACAAGTTACAACCAGACAAACAAGGTGGTGTGCTGCATAAGAAGTTATAGAATCTCAAACTGAACACTATATATAATTCATCCAACAAATGATGAAGAAAGCAAAACTATTTCTCACAACATACAAAACCAATTGTCACACAAATACACCAGCATCTTTTAAGTAACTGAAAATTTAGAAGAGCTGGATGTATCAATCACTCATTGATCAAAATGGTAGCCAGCATACCATGATTAAACGCATAAAACGCGCCTGCAGTACCCCCAACAGCGGAACCAATCTGTTCCATATGGCCATGTTTATATATTAGTACACGGGTGGAAAGCACAAAACAAAAGGCAGTGCTTGGAAAGTTTCCAGTTTGGACTAAAAAGACGAATAACTCGCACTGGTGAGTGGTAAAAGGCGATGGAACAAACCATTGAGAAGCTATCTCGAACCAATGGAGTCACGGTCCAGCTGCTAGTTTCCTTCATAAGCCCAAAAAACATGCATTAGCGCAATTAACCACATAAGTTGCCTTACAAGGAAGCTATAACAGTACAAACTCGCTGCTTGCATCAGTACAAGCAGATAACAACAGCACAAAATTGCATCAGTTACATCAGTCCAAAAAAAATGCAACAACGGGCGTTTGATTACGAAACACAAACCAGCATACAAGCAATAGTCATGCTATAATTCAGGCAAAATCTACAAAGGGGTGCAAATCTGTACGAAGAACAAAGGGGTGTAGCGGCGGCGGCAGAGGATGTGAAGGGGGGAGAAGGCGGTCAGTACCATGTCCTTGGAGAGGGGCCCTGCGCAGTGGTGGCACCTCTTGGGTAGCTCCGGGGCGGCGTGCTCCGACATGGCGCCCCAGAGAGATGAGAGATGGCCCGCCGGGTGGATGGATCCGCCCCGAGCTAGCGGGAGGAAGGGAAGCTCTGTCTGACCTGTCGCCGCAGCCGCAGGAAACAAAACAGAACAAGGCCCCTTCGTTAAAACCCTTCGATTTTGGAGCGGCCACGATTCGACCACCGCCTAGCCGCAGCCGTCCGATTTCTTCTTTCTTCGCCTCCAAGTCGTGATTCTTCGGCCTTAGCCGGATCGGGCCAGGCCAGTTGCGACAGTCAAGGCCGGCCTGTCATGTTAATGGGCCAGGCTGATCTTGTCATCCCTAGACAAACAGCTCTGAGCATGTGCCAACCTACGGCATTTCTTTTTTTTTAGCATCAATACAGACACAAGCGCTCATATACACGCGCATATATTTACCCCTATGAACGCACACACGCATACCCTATCCTTATGAGCACCTCCGAGAGACTGAGCCGGCATATCATCTTGAGATTTACGAAGTCACCGTAAGCGCCTCGTCGTCGATGAGAACGTCTCCTCCCACTGAAAGCGCATCGCCGAAAATGCTGAAATAAATCCAGAAATAATGCGAGTACCAGGATTTGAACCCTGATGGGTTGGAAATATCACTGTTCACCTAACCAACAGGTTGATTTGCAACCTACGGCATTTCCTAACGGGCGCCTTAAGCACCCGTTTCTTCAGTAAACGCAAACGGGCGCATACCCCTCGCGCCGCGCTGGGCCGGCCCGTGTCTTTTTTAAAAAAAACTGCAGCAAAAATCGAATTTCCTAAGCGCAGCATCGAACTCGTGATCTGTAGTTGATAAAGGAGCGCACTGAGCAGCAGGACATCCTACCGCGAGTGTCTATTGACTTCTTCCCGCTATTTTTATTACCTAGGCCGCGGGAGCCCCCCAAACCAATTTTCCACGGCTTCGTGATTTCTAGGCGTTTTTTTCTGGTTCCTTTTTTCCTTTTCTTTTTATTTTCTTAAATGCGCGAACGTTTTTTCAAAGTCGTAAACTTTTTTCAAGTTGAATTAACTTTTGTTAAAATCAGTGAACTTTTTCAAATTTGAGGAAAAAAATTCAAAATCGATGAATTTTTTTGAATTTGATGAAAGGTTTTCAAAATCGATTAACTTTTTTTAAATTCTGTGAATTTTTAAAATCGATGAACTATTTTTATCATTCAGTGAACTTTTTTCTAAGTCGATGAACTCTTTTTCAAAATCGTTGAACTTTTTTAAATTTGTTGAAATTTTTTTAATCGATGAACTTTTTTTAAAATTCAATGAACTTTTTTCAAAATCGATGAACTCTTTTTCAATATTGATGAACTCTTTTTCAAAACCGATGAACTTTTTTTAAATTCGATGAACTTTTTTTAAAATTCAGTGAACTTTTTTCAAAATCGATGAACCCTTTTCAAATTCGATGAACTTTTTTCAAATTCGATGAACTTTTTCAAAACTCATGATTTTCTTTAAATTTGATGAATTTTTTTCAAATTCGATAAACTTCTTTCAAAATCGATGAAACTTTTCAAAATCGATGAACTCTTTTTTTCATTCTTAATGAACTTTTTTTTCAAAATTGATTTTTCTTTATTGATGAACTTTTTTTCAAATTCATGAACTTTTTTGTAAGTTCCTGGACTTTCTTTCAAGTTTTATGAAAATTCTTGAATTCACAAAAAAATTCAAAATTTTCGTTTTTTTGTTTTTTTCATCAAAAGTCAATTTTTTGAGAAATTCAAAAGTCAATACTTGAGCGATCCAGGGGAGCGAACGAGCAGAAGTGGAACAAGCGAACGATGCAAGCTGGCCGGCCCAGTTCGCGCACGTGTGGGCGCCAGAACGGGAACCGGCGCTGAAGGCGCCTAAGGTTGTTCCCACAAAAAAAACTACATGTGGCTGGATGGTTAGAATGACATTGGTATCTCTAGTCCACCAGAAAAGTCTTGTTGCTCGCATTTACTCTGAATTTATTTCAGAATTTTTGACGATGCGTGTTCAGTGAGAGAAGACGTTTCCATTGACTACGGAGCGCCTATAATGGCTTCGTCAATCTCAAGATGATATGCCGGCTCAGTCCCTCGAAGGTGCTCATAGGGATAGGGTGTGTTTATAGGAATGAGTGTACGCACGTATATATGAGCGCCTACGTATGTACTGTGTTCTAAACAAAAGCTTTGAGCATGTTTCCGCTAAAAACCAGCTGCACAAGCTTCCGGTCTATTCAATGTCTTGTTTTTTTGAATGGAAAGGGATTTCTTCCCCAATTTCATTAACCAAACCAGCAATTTGGCAACAATCCAAACGCAGCAAAACCATCAGCAAGGTTTCAAACCATCACCCCCCCTCACCTCAACAAGGGAAGTAAGGGAAAAACGTGGGACTGGACCTACAATAGGCAAGGACACCGAATAGAAAAACGCAGAACTACACACATATGGAGACTAGCACCCCAGCATTCATATGCTAGTGAGCCACATGAGCTAAAACTCCCGACACCCAACTTTCAATGTCTTGTTTTAAACTGTCGAGGGGTTTGTGTGAACACCTGACTTATATGATCAAAGCCTTTTGGTGGGGAGTAAAAGAGGCCAGTGCAAACCATACTGGGTGTCATGGGACATAATGAGCATGCCTAAATACATGGGGGGTCTGGGTTTCAAGGGCTTTGAAATTTTCAATCTTGCGCTTCTTGCAAGACAGGCTTGGAGAATCATAGAAAACCATTATTCAATAAGTGCAAGAATACTGAAGGCGGTGTACTTCCCAGAAGTTCATTTTTTGAATGCAGCACTTGGGACTCATCCATCACAGATTTGGAGAGCAATCATTTAGGGGTGTGATACCCTTAAACAGGGGCTGATTAGGCGAATTGGCAATGGTACAACCACTGAAATATGGAACTTCAACCGCATCCCAAGACAGGAAAGTATGTGCCCAATCATCTCGCTTGTGATTCACCCACCGCAGGTTGTTTCAGAACTACTTGACATCCCGAACACCAGATCGAACAACGAGGTTATCAGGCAGGTCTTTCTCCCATATGATGCTTTGGCAATTATGCATATTCCTATTTGTACCTGCAATATGGAGGATTTTTGTCTTGGAACTTTGAGAAAATCAGGAATCTTTTCAATACGGTCGGTGTATAGGATGATTGTGGCAACAAAAAAGTGTCGCCAAGATTGGCTTAATGAGCGACCGGGCTCCTCTGATGATGCGGCAGATGAGAAGTCTTGGACCATTCTTTGAAACGCTCTAGTGCCGACAAAACTTAAAGTTTTCCTGTGGAGATTGGCCCAACATTCATTACCTACTAAGGATGTAAGAAAACATAGAAATATGTCTGACATAGATGGATGTTCAGTTTGTGTCATGCGTGACTCTGGGAGGCTAAGTCTTATTGAGTGCTCAATGGCGAGATGTGTGTGGGCATTTATTGACCTGGAGCCTTTTGACCAGATGATGGCCATGGTTGAACCTTATGCTACAAATTGGATGTTTACTTTGATGGATGTGCTTTCACATGATCAGTTCACTTGGTTGATGGCAACCCTATGGGCGATATGGACTGTGAGACATAAACTGATACACGAAGGCATTAGTCAAAGCCCTTTGTCGACGCATCTCTTTATCACAAGTTTTATGTCAGAGCTTTAGCAAGTTCACCAGCGGCACATGAAATAACAGTGCCTCCAGGCGGAAATGCTTAGGTTCGGTGGTTGCCTCCTCCGCTGGACTCATCAAAATTAATGCTAATGCAGGTGTTGGCCACAATTTAGGAGCAACAACTATAGTTTATCATGGCAGGGATGGCGGCTACTTAGGCTCCTCAATTCTAGTCACCCAAGGCCTAACCGATGCTTCTTCTTTGGAAGCTATTGCTTGCAACGAGGCTTTGTGTAAGTGCATCTAGTGCCATCCCTAGTTGGTTTTGGAGTATTGACGACAAACCTGGTTGAGGGACTAATGTGTTTGTGAGAATTGCAGGATAACATAGGTAGAAGTCCCTCATTGATTCGGTTTTCCTACCAGAGATGACCCCTAAAAATGTATGAAGACATTGAAGTCAAAGGTGGTATGTGAAGACAGTCACATTGAAGACTATGACAAGAGAAGACATTGAGTGAAGACCATGGAGCGCGAAGACTTAGTTGTTTCATTGTTCTTTTTCTTCTTTGTTGAGTCATAGGAACCACCGTACTGTTAAGTGGGGTCCAAGTGAACCAGTCAGAATGACTGAAGTGGTGCTTAACCAAAATCCTATGTCTTCGAGCGAAGACAATGAGAGCAAATCTTATCTAGAGCTGGGTAAGTCAGCTTTGCTTGTAGCTCAAGTAAAGTTGCCGTGTGTGTTTGAAATCTGACCGTTGGAACACGTGTCAGTTCCTTAGTGACCCAGGGTCATTTCGGACAAATCAGGTCGGGTTGCCTAGTGGCTATAAATAGCCCACCCCCTACAACCATAAACGGTTGGCTGCTCAGAGTTAGTGTACGGCTTTTATTGTTTGAGAGCAACCCACCTCGAAGACATTGAGAGAGAATTCCTTGCGAGGATAAAGCCCTAAACACCCAGAGCCAAAGAGTGTTAGGCATCACTTAAGTCTTCCTGTCTGTGTGATCTGAAGACTTATTACACTTGAGGACTATGAATCCTCCAGCCGGTTAGGCGTCGCGTTCTGAGCATCCAAGAGTCATTGTGGATCGCCGGTGAACGAAGTCTGTGAAGGTTTGGAAGTCTACCTTGAAGACTTACCAGAGTGATTGGGCGAGGATTGTGTGTCCTTAGCTCAAGGGGAATAAGGTGAAGACACGGTCTTCTGAGTTGAATCTCAGCCTCCCTAACCAGACGTACAGTTGTCACAGCAACTGGAACTGGTCCAACAAATCATTGTCTTCAACGAGTCACTGTTTTCATCCTTCCCATTCCTTTACTTATTGTTGGCTCTAGTGAAGTCATTGTATGATTGCATTATCTTTTGTCCTCACTGAGT